TTTGTGGCACACCACAGTAGGTTTTCTTTTTGTCATATTGAGGATGGAAATCAAGGTATGATCAGCAAACACTCTACCCACTGAACTCTACGTCAGTCTCCCTCCTGAGTTTCTTCATCAGTGCAGAGGCCACTGAAAGGCCCGTCTGTGAAGAATCTGCATTACGAAAACTACTTGTTATGATGGTGACTGAAAAAGAATTTGCCAACACAGTGTGTGCTGTATGAACTCAATCATGGACACATGACAAGCAGATGGTCCAAGAGTGCTGGGTAGAGAAAGGGTCCAGAAATAAAGCAAATTATTTAGAGATTTCTAGTTAATGTTAACTATGGACAATTTTTCATACTTAAAATTTACTATAATTAATCTTAGTGATATTCAAAATCAAGAAAAACCACTTCAAAATAATCATGGACACAAGTGTTGAACACTCCCCAGTAGGGGACTGGAATTAAACTGACCTGACTTTAAATTTGAAACTTACCTGCTAATTTTTATGTGACCCTGGTGAATTCTTTAACTTCTAGGAATGCCAACTGCCATAAACAGAAAGTGGATGACACCAAATCTATGTGGCAGTATTTGTGAGAACAAAATGAATGTGTATAAGGTTTGCAATGGAGTGGCTCAGCCATTTGATAAACTGTAGCTTTAATTCAAGACTGCTGATAGCAGTACTCAATCTAAAGGAATGTAAGAGGGTACAATTTGCTCAGAAAAAAAGTGTGGCCACACAGAGACTCCCTGATGTCACCTGCTGTGCAAAGAATGAGAGAATCATGTAGAGACAAATCTCTATCCAGCCGGCCAGCGGGAGAAGCCCAATGTGTTAGGAAGAAAAGAGATGGAGGACGGATGTGGCAGGGAGCGCAAGGGGATGCAAGAAGAATTTCAATGTGTTGTGGACGTGTAGCAACTATCCAAGGTGAATGCACCCATCCCATGCTGCAAATGTGCACTCCAAAGGATAAAAAAGAAGAAAAAAGAAGTGGCACCCAGCTCTGGGTGCACCTCATGTGTGTCCTCATAAGGAGCAGTATGTGGTCCAAGAGGGTGGCTGCAGACTGACCTTTGCTCGCAGTTTCTCTGGGCACCAGGGAAGACTAGGCACTATGGGTAAGGCCGGAAGGTACACGTGAATGGGTGGCCCATCACACAAAGACAGGAAGAAGGGGTGAGGATGAGGGAGGCTACAGAGAACAAAGCGCTGCAGTCTGGGAACTGGAATGAATCTCAAAGAGGCAAACAGTTGGGTGGTAAAAGCATCAGAAGGAAAATGAGCAGTGCAAGGGCAGGGATTTCTGGGCAGGAGTGAGGACAATGAAATTGAAGATGTCTCAAGTGGCTTTATGGTGGTGCCATGTGCAGTGCTGAAAGAGATTATCCTTTTAATCAAACCGAGCCAAGGAGCAGATCTGTACTCTCTCATGCCTGAAGAGGCTGACATTAGCTAGTTAGCACCGTAGAAGGAAGAGACAGAGGTCCTCCCTCACCTCATCACTGTCTGAGCCCAGGGAGGAGATGGAGACCCATCAGCAGAGCATCCACTGGATCCCACTGTCACCCTTGGAAACTGCAGCTGTCCTCTCTGTCCAGTGTGCCCATTGGCACAGCCACACAGAGAACAAGTATTTACAATGCCATTGTGGAAGATAATCACAGTGTAGACGTGTACCTGTGAAATACGCCATGCAGTCTCACCTGTCAAGTACCATAATTACCCAGACACACATATATACGCTCTGTAGAAACAACTGCTCAAGTATAAGAAAAAAATAAATTGGACTTTTGAATCTCAATATGGTTCTATGTTTTTTTAAGTTTGTAGCCAACAAAGTAGGGCAGTATTTTTCAGTAGGACAGTATTTTTCATCAATTTGAATGAAGTCATCTTCTGTTGTGCTGGTAAGGTTTCTTAACAGCATTTAATCAGGGAGAAAGCACGATGTCTTTACCATTCTGTAGTAGACTGTAATGGTGTTAAGTGTGTGTAGCATCAACAGCTAGCTAACTCTGTAGGAATTTCCAAGTTATTTTCCACTGAAACTTTCTTCAAAAATTGTAAGTTAAATTATATTTCATCTACCACTCATCCATCTTAAAGGAGCATAAGGAACATAGGTGTGCAATGGATCAAATCAAGAGTGCAAAGAAATCTACGCTGGATAAAGCAGCATGCATGCCGTGCAGCATGCTGAGTGTAGCCAGACTGTCACGTGGTAGAGTCATGCTCTGCAGGAGATCCAGAAATAAGCCTGTGCTCTGGCTTCCTCTGTGGCATCCCTAGTGGGTACCTGTGAGGGTTTTTTATTTTTATGTTTTAAAATTAATTTTATTGAGAAACAAATAGTAATGAGACAGTTTCAAAACAGGATAGTAGAACAGTTACAATAATGAATACATTGCATATTGTTGTTTTTGTAGTATTCATAGTACAAGATGCAGACATGATACCCTGTCCAAACACTATTAGTACAAATCTTACTTCTCACTGAATTAAGAGAAGGGAGCTGTATATCTATCCTAACTATTTTGCATATACAGATACAAAATGGTCCTTCATTTATATCCCTCTTTTTCATTTAGTTTTGTCGGAGATGGGTATTCCATTGCCATTTAAATATTGTAGGTGCGTGAATTCAGCAAAACAATCCAATATAGTCCAGTAGTCCATAATAGTAGTGGGTTATCCGTAGGACTGTGCAGACCTCAAAAGTCATCTGCTCTAGCGGTGCTTTCTACCACCCTCTTTTTTCCCCATAATTTTACTGAAAAACAGATAGCAATGAGGCAGTTTCTAATCAAATTAGGGCAGTTTCAATAATTAACATATTTCATATTGTTTTTCCCAGTGGTTGTACAAGATGTAGACATGATATTTTATAACCTTAATTTTCTTCAGTAAGCTCTTACTTGTGCAGGCATTGGCGCTGACCTGGACAAAGTGTATGGGAAAACAATAAAAGAAATGAGCCCAAATGAGAGAGAGAGAGAGAGAGAGAGAGAGAGAGAGAGAGAGAGAGAGAGAGAGAACAACTCACACACTTGCATACACACACACTTGAACAGGTAAAATGTGTTCTTTCTTTTTTTTTTTCAGTACTGGGGACTGAACTCAGGACCTTGCACTTGCCAGGGAAGTGCTTATTCTACCGAGCTATCTCCCTGACCCTGTCTTCTCTTTCTTACACCAAAACAAAGGCTCTTTCTGAGCCCAGGTGCCTATTCTGTGACTCCTTCAGGGGACAGGTCATGCTAATATTGTCATCTGCATTCTCTACAGCCTAAGCTGTGCCTGGCAGAAAATTTGCGAAGAAATCTTTGTTGAATAAATGAATGAAGGGACATTGAGTCTTTCTTATAAAAATACTTGTGGCAAATCTAACATTGTTGGATATCTTTTCCCCAGATAATCTTATCTCTAAAAGACAGTCCAGCATGTACATACACACACATGTACACACACACGTGCATGCACAGGCACAGCAAACTCAGCTCTTGCAAAGGAACAAACCTGGATGAGAATGTATACCTCTGGTTGGTTTCCCACTTGAGGGAGTTTTGTGCAGTGTGTACTCCTAGCCCAAGACAATAAAGCATTCCAAAGTATCAAAACACTACTTACATCCTTGAATATTCTGCCAAAACAACTCAAACTTCTACATGGCCCAGTACAATCTTCTGTAAGTCTCTAAAACAGGTCAGCAAAGCATTAAATTCTTAATTTTGCTCTTATTCCAATGAAGACTCTGGGTGGTCCCTAAATCTTTGCAGGATTCTCCTTGTGTTGCCATCTCAGCAATTCACTTAGCTACAACATTTACACAAATCCATTCATGCAGGCCAAAGGCATGGCCAGGGCTGGAACAGAAGCTTTAGAGAAATGGATTCTGAGATAACTAGAGGCTGGATACAAAAGACCTTGACTGGAGGCCATTACAGACCGAAAACTGAACAAGGACAAGGCAGAAGCTTAGGGTACAGTGACATTAAATTAAACTGCCCTCACCACATCTTGGCATGTGAACCTACACAACTTACTTGATCTCGTTGAGCTTTAGTTTCCTCATCTGTATACTGAGACTAAGAGAGGTGACATATCTAGCCTAGTGCCATCCTTAGAATAAGGCCTCGGTGAATATTTTTAAAGTGTGAAAAAAAACGGGGTCAGCGAGATAGCTCAGCATACTAAAACACCTGCTTAGGCAAGCTTAGGCAAGTGCAGGGACCGCAGTTCAATCCTAGGCACCACATGCTATGCCAGTCACATCCCCAGGGCAAGCTGAGCTGGCTACAGAGTCCAGATGGGGTGGCGGCACTGGGGAAGCTGAAAATAGGAGGACCACTATGAATCTGAGCTGTGTAGTAAGTGAAACTCTGTACTACCACACACCATCATAGAAGTGATGGTAGCGCAGCCATGTCGATGGGCTTAACACCACTCAAACGCGTGCTTAAAATGGTGACTTTCATTTTCTACTTATTTCACCACTATGTAAAAATGTTTGAAAACAAGAATGAAGGTAGAGTGTGAAGACTGATCAAAAAGCAACATAGGGCCGGCCTGATACCTCAGTGGACTAAAGAGCCTGCTTACGCAGAGTGTAGTGGCCGGGGTTCGATTCCCACCCCAGCCTGCCATGCCAGCCCCCCTCCAGGGCACACTGAGATGGCGATTGAGACTGGGCGTGGTAGCGCGCCTGTAATCCCAGTGGTGGGGAGGCTGAAAACAGGAGAATCACTGTGAGTCTGATCTGCATAATGAGACCCTGTAGATCCTATCCTAAACACAGAAAAAAAATTAAATTTAAAAAATCAACACAGTATAGCTGAAATCTAGGTGATCTGGAAAGGTAGACTGGACAGGAAGCAAAAAGTCTGAACTACCAGTGAGTAGTGTGACTGTGACCTACCATAGTGCCCCATGGAGACCCTGGAAAGTCTACAACTCCAAGTGTTATGTTGGGAAATTGATACTGAGCATTTCTGAGGCTCACCCTGGGAATGGAATAGATTGCTAGAAAGAGGGTGGGGTTGAAGAAACGACCTCTTACTACTTCAAATTTGGTCCCCAACCCAGCAATACTGGTGCTGCCTGAGAACAACTTCTTGGGCTGTCCCCGACCTGAAGGAGAGGCACCAAAGTAACAAGCTCCCTTGGTAATCTTTCTTTTTTGTTTTTTCTTGTCTCTTGTTTTCATTTATTACCTTTTTTATTTTTTTTGCCATAATTTTATTGATAAATAGTAATGAGACAGTTTCAAATCAAATCGGTAGGACAGTTTCAATAATTAACACACTGCATACATTATTCTTAGTGGTTAATTGCTGTACAAGATGCAGACTTGAGATCCTATTTACAAACACCATTAGAACAAATCATTCTATTCATTAAGAGAATGTAACTATATATCTATCCTAACCACTTTGAATACACAGATACAAAATGGACATTCATCTGTATCCCCCTTTTTTGTTAAGTTCCATTATTTGAATATTATAGGTGTGTAAACTCAGCAAAATATTCTAAAAGAGTCCAGTAGCCCATAATAGTATTGGGTCTTCTGCTTAACTGGCAATGTCAGAAATTGTTGACCTGAGTCCCCCACAGCTCAACATAACAGCATAGCTTTATTTCTTATATTTCGTTTTTATACTTTTCTTCTGGATGGTTAAGACCAAGGTAAAGCAGGACCTATGCAACAAGAGTTGTAGCTTTTGGGTCTGATAAGGTCAGTGAAATCCCCTCAGGATTTATCCGGAGATCCTGTACCTCAGATTGTAGATCCTTTGTCAGTGTCAGCCATGTGGATGAGTCACGGCCATTGCTTGGCCAATGTGCTCTCTGTGAAAGCCTGAGAGAATGTTTTCTTTTCTTAAACAAACATTTACTTGTGAGACAGTATGGCAGCAATTGGTATGAGATGACAAGCAGCACACATTTAGAAGACCAGAATGACAGCCATTCCAAGCATGACCCTACTATTACACATTGCTATCTTCAGTGCAGTTGCTTAGTTCACAGGTATCAGCATATATACAACTGAACCAGAGCTTGGAACAAATGGACTTAGTGGCCATATACAGAGTGTTCCACCCAAACACAGCTGAATACACATTTTTTTCAGCTGCACATGTGTCATTTTCTAAAATAGACCACATACTAGCCCATAGGTCATGCTTAAGTATATGAAAGAAAACAGAAATTATCCCATGCATATTTTCTGAAACTGGAAATAAATGAGACAAGAAAACAGAAAAACCTCATAAATACATGGAAAATTAAACAACACCCTACTCAGCAACCAATGGGTTACAGATGAAATTAAACAAGAAACTGAATAATATCTACAATTCAATGAAAATTCAAACACAACTTACTGGAACTTATGGGATGCGAGGAAAGCAGCTCTTAAAGCGAAATTTATAGCTGTGAACTCACATATTAGGAAAACAGAACGGGAACACATAAACACCCTAATGCTGCACCTCCAACATCTAGAAAAGGAAGAGCAAACCAAACCCAAAGCCCAAAGACGGGAAGAAATCAAAGATTAGAGCAGAAATTAATTCAATTGAGATGAAGAAAACAGTTCAAAGAATTAACTAATCAAAAAGCTGGTTCATTGAAAGATTAAATAAAACTGATAAGCCCTTGGCTAACCTCATCAAAAAGAGGAAAGAAAAAATTCAAATACAAGCAATAAGGAATGAAAAGGGTGTAATTACCACAGACTCAGTGGAAATCCCTTGGTAACCTTTCAACACAACAGTGAGAACTGATGCAGGTCAGGCTGAAGAGGTTGGGGACCTGCAGCAGAAGTCTAACTGTGTCATCACGATTTACTGAGCTTGGTAGGTAGGCTCTGTGTATTTCACAAGGCATCCTTTCAGCCTGGCAAGCACCCTTCAATGCCATTATTACCCTGTTTCCCACAGGAGGGTACTGAGATTCAGAGTTAAAGTAGCTTGTCTGAAGTCACCCAGCTAGAACCTGGCAGCTCTGAGATATGAACCCAGCAATATGTAAGCTTTTGCTTCAGGTTCTCCTCTGTAGTGCTGTCAAAGCTCAAGGAAAATCAGCTTTCTGTCTTGTTTCACTTGTCTCTTCCTCAGTTATCAAACTCTGTGATTACTCAGGAAGTTTGCTAAATTGTCCCTAAGGTCGATCTGATGCGGAAGACAGCACATGACTACATGGAAAATGTCTGAGTCCAGTCCATAACAGCCACATACACTGGAGAAAATGGCCCCTGCAGCTCCATGAGGTTCCGTGCTCACTGCACACCCATTCTGGCTCCTGTTCAAGTGCCACCTTCAAATCAGGTGGGGTCTAAGTGAAATCCCCATCTCAGCCTGGGATCTAAGTGCAATCCCCATCTGACTTGCTTCCTCTTCATGGTTACCCCAGTGCCCTTCCCCCACCCTTTGGGCTTCCTCGAGGACCCCAAGACCATGCAGGAATTCTGCTGATCATAACAGGGAGGAATTCAATGTTCCCTTCCAGTGGCTAAAAGAAAAGTTCTGCAAAATTAAATCAATTACACGGGTTCTATAAAAATCCTCTGAAAAAAGCAGGAAGTCATGTTTTAATATTCACCAATTACAAAGAAAATCTCAGTTACATGAGAAAACTCTTCAAGTGTGACCATGAGCAATCCATTCCTACAAAGGAGGGCTGCCAAATCACCTGTATTCACACCCTCTTCGTTCTTGGCTTCCTTAGAAGGCCTGTGCCCAGCCCACTCTGTGCTTTGGAGCAGGTAAGAATCTTCAAGTGCATTCAAGCATCCTTACCTGTTCCTTCCCACTGCACTGGTAGGGCTCCAAGGCCCTGCCCCACCTTCTTCCCACCCAGAGCTCTCCAACATCCCCCTATGCTATTGTCACCTGAGTAGACCATGCCATTAAGCTCACTAAAGATCTAAGGGCACACTGTTGAGGATATTGTACTTGAACATGTCCTAAAATTTGATGTTTACATAGAGAAATATCCCTGTCTACTGCCCACCCATTATGACTCAGCTGTCTGCTCCAACTACTACTGATACTTGCTTTCCAGGCTCAAACAATGAGCATTGCCTTCCTCCACTATGCTCCCTTCTTCTCTCCCTGACATCACTTAGCCTTCATGTGTCCAAATTGGTTCCTCTCCAAAAGAAATGAATCTGGGAATTTACCAAAAATGAAGAATGAGAAACTTGCACAGTGTACTCAACAGTACTCCTGTGAGTAGGACTAAAGAACATGCTAAAAGCAAAGTCAAACAGGAGCAAATTCGCTCCTCCCATTGAATGAGGCTGGGTCGCATGGCCTGGTGTTGGCGTGACCACTGGACATGGGCATGGCACTGTGGGTCCTGTTTGCTGCAGTCGCTTGTCAGTGTGATGAAGACTGGCACCCAGACACTGCCTGCTTTGCACTCGAGATGATCTGATGTCTTAATACAAATGCTCACTAACCATGATGGCCACATAGACACTGAGTATAGACAGCTATCTAGAGGGGCAGCAAATGCAAGTGGTAGCAGAGTTAAAAACAGAGCGACATCCAATTTGCCCTGAACCAAATATGGAAGGTGTGAGCCCTCCTCCACTGAAGTCTCAGATCCCGAAGGATGCGGACAAGCAGGCCATTTATAGGTAGCACCAGGGTGGGCGCATGGGTTTTCAGAGGACCAGCAGAAGCAACCTGGCTGATGCCATCCAGAGCTGGTGGCAAGGCAGAGTTGTACAGTGTCACTGTGGAGTGGTGCAACACCTCCTTGGGGGAAAACTCCACTGAGTCAAGTTGATTTTACTTCTAACAACTAAAAGAGAATGTTTTGTAGTACCTTATATTTTAGGTAATCTTGCCAAAAGAAATCTTTAGGTACATATGGTCTTGTGTATTTGTCAGTGTTGCTGGGAATCAGACACTGGGCCTTGACCATGATAAGCGAGGGCTCTACCACTGAGCTACACCCCAGCCCAGACTCAGGGTGGGTTTGCAGGAGGATTCCACCAAACACATGAAGGAGAAAGGAACAGTGAGTCTGCACAGTGTCTTCCAGACAACCAAAGAGGGAAAAATGCTACCCAACTCACCAGGAACTGACTTATTCTGACACTGGCAGAGAAACACAGTATAAAACAAACAAAAAAAAAAGACCAGCATCCCTCCCAGTTTAGGTTCATCATATCAATAAAATGCTAACATATAAAATCTATTAATATATAAAAAGAAAAACTCCTATTGACCAAGTTAGTTTACCCTGAATACAAGACTAGTTAAACATTAAAAAATCCACTAGTATACAATATATCTTGATTCTTCTTTGTTCCACAATCCCCTCCCCTCCCTTAAACCTCCCCTTCCTTTAAAAAAAATCCATCAGTGAGATCCACAAGGTGATCCCATCCATTGATGTAGAAAAGCACTCAACAAACTCCAATCCATAACCATCCAATTAGGCTAAAAGTTGTTAGCTAAGGGCAATGTTAGGGGAGCTCTCTTCACTTGAGGCAGAGCATCCACAAACTGGCATATAGCTAATATCATATTTAATAGAAAAGACTGAGAATAAAGCTAGAGTGCTCACTGTCATTACTCCTGCCCAGCATTGTAATGGAAATTCTAGCCCAGGTTGTACAGCAGGAGTAAGAATAAAAGGCATACCAGAGGAGAAATGCTTAAAATGAAGGAATAAACTGGATGTGCACAGTGCCTCACACCTGTAATCATAGCCTGGGTGACGAAATGAGTACAAAGTGACCCTGAAGTATGTAATCCTCTGTCTCAAAAACAAACAAACAAAACTGTATAAATGGCAACTGCCTATATAGAAAAATTCCAAAAACCTTCCTCAAACTTATGCAAGTGATTTTAGTAAGGTTGTAGGATACAAGTGCAAGATATAAATCCTACTTCTATACCAGTAATGAACTGTTAGAAACTTGAAAGAAACTGGGTATGGTGGTGCACAGCTGTAATCCAGCATTTAGGAGGCTAAGGCAGGAGGACTGCCATGAATTTCAGGCCAGCGTGGACTCCATAGTGAGTTCAAGGCAATGTGAACTTCATGGCAAGACCCTGCCTTAAAGAAAGAAAAGGAGAAGGGGAGTGAAGGGAGGGGAGGAGAAATGA